AGGAAACAGGATGATTTCTTCCACCGCAGAAAGGAGAGGAAGGAAGCAGAAGGCAGAGGGATTGATCTGGCAGCAGAACTGGAACCCTGCCACGGCCGGCTCTGGCCCTGGCGCCCTGGCCTCTGCTCAGGCCCAGCCTCACCCTCCTCCCCTCACCCCTGGAGGGCCGAGTGATTCACTCACAACCTTCCCTACATCCTGGGTGGCGGGAGAAGCACGGAAGAGCCCAGGTCGGGCCAGGCTGGGGGGTGGCAGGCAGGAGCACGAGAACGGTGGGGAAGAATGGGGAGGCCCCGGAAACACGGCCAGTGTGCACCCCACCTGGAGAAAGGGCTCTCTGTGCCGGGGCGGCCAGCGGGGACCAGATTCCAGATGTGTGAGGTGTGGGGAAACAGCTCCCACGTCCCTTTCTTTCCACTCCCCTGCCTAGCACCCTGCGGGAATTTTCCATCGTAAACAAGCTGTGCATTCCGGGGCCCTCCCCTTCTCTCCACCCAGCAGTTTTCTTCCCTGAGCACTACCCCTCCTCAGTCCACGCACAGTCTGTCTGCGTGTGTAAGCGGTGTGGCAGTCTCTCTGCAGTGAGACCCAACTCCAGTCTGTAGCAAATGTGCAGCCTCACTGTGCTTGGGCAGAAGTCTGAGAATGAGGCCAGATACAATGGCACACGCCTGTAGCCCCAACACTCAGGAGGCTGAGGCAGAAGGGTCACCATGAGTTCGAGGCCAGCCTGGGCTACATAGTGAGACTTTATCGCAAAAAAAAAAGGGGGGGCCAAGGATTTAGCTCAGTGGTTCTGGCGACTGCCTCACAAGCACAAGGACCCGAGTTCGATCCCCGGTACCAAAAAAAAAAAAAAAAAAATCTAAGGATGATGGCAAGCATGAAACACAGATGTAAGAAAGAAGTATGCTTTTGTTTGTAGAAGTATGTAATGTAGAAGCGATCTAGGTGTACATATAGGACACGGGCCCAGGTAGCTACTGTACATACAGCAACAATAAATCAATTTCGAGCCCACTGTGGGGCTTGTCTTGCCTCACTTCTGTGGTTGTAAGATGCTCTTTAATGTCTCTCCTTTGATATCTGTGTAAGAATTGTTGCAGCTTTCTCAAGACATTGGAAGAGTGTGTCCATGTCTCAGAATCCAGGAGAACCAGCCATACCGTGATGCATTTTATCTTTCATTTAACAAGATTACTGGGCCACTCCTACCCCCAAGGCAGCAGGCACGGTTCCTTGGGTGACAGAAAGGCATGCTAACACCCTCTACCAGAAGAGGCCGTGTGTTACTCACCTTGCTCTGGGTTTAATATGATGGAATAAACTTTAACACTGGAGGAGACGAGGCAGATGCACCTCGAATCCCAGGAGTTGGCGTTCCTTTAACCTCTCTTGTCAACAAAACCCTAACCACTGTTCTCTGCTGATGCACAGCTACCGGCCCACTTTGGCGATCTTACCCAGCCGGGGCCTTAGGCACCTTCTCCTATCTAACCAAGACCCTTTGGCAGCCTTCCATCCCAAGCCACAGTGTCCCCACTCTTGGCCTCAGCCCTCCTCGCAGGTGGCTGCCGACACCTTATCCTTTGACCTCTGAGCTGCATGGTGTGGGGCAATGGTGGCGAACCTGTGGCACGCGTGCCACTGCGGGCACACGGAGCCCCCTCCCGTGGCACATGACCCAAGGCTTGACACATTATCAGCATGCCCAACGGTCACATTACCTGTGCAAAAACAAGTGCAAACTTTTACCTTTCAATAAAAAGCTATCATTGAAAGCATTGTTACTCTGTTTTTCTTTTAAGACAAAAGATATTAATGTATGCATTGTTTTTTCTAAACTAAAACCTCAGGGCCGGGGATTTACCTCAGCTGTTCAGTGGCCTATCTCGCAAGCACAAGGACCTGAGTTCGATCCCTGGTACAAAAAAAAACAAAACTAAACTAAAACCTCAGCACTGTGCCATAAAGAAGTGGGTTTGGGGTTGCAGTTGGAGCCCCGGGTCTCTAAGAGGTTCACCATCACTGGTCTACTGCGAAACCCTGGGTCCTTAGCTGCCAGAGGAGCGCCCCCACTCTGCCAGGCTCCACTCCTGCATTAGTCCTTCCGGCTACTCCTCTACGGGAAACCTACTCTAAAGTGGGGTGTGTGGGGTGTGTGTGTGTGTGTGTGTGTGTGTGAGATATTCCCCAAACACATCCTGTACTTTTCCAGCCAAGGCCTTGGCTGAGCCCACGCTCCGTTTCAGTCACCCTTCACATCTGGATGTGTCACGTCCCACTCACCGTCTGAGGTCGTTTCGAACGCCACACTCCCACAAAGCCTCCCGGTGATTTGTGGGACATCAACACTGGCTCCTGGGACCCTCGGCTTAGGGAAGTCCTGGTCGCGGTCCCCTCCAGCCTCGGATGACAGGTTGCCAAAACCAACCTCAGAACTCTCAGCAGTACTCTACTGTTCTTGCTGTTGTGAAGCTGGGCCTCAATGTGTTCCCCAGGCTGGTCCCAAAAACCCTACAGGAACCCTCAGCCTCCGAAGAAGCAGAGACCACAGGCACGCACACCACACTGAGCTGCAACACTGCTTCTAAACCAGGCATGGTAGCACACGCATCTGTAATCCCACCACTCAGGGAGGCTGAGGCAGGAGGATCACCAACTCTACGTGCAGTATGTGCAAATTAGCAACTTTAAGCAAACCCCGTCTCAAAATAAAAAACAAAAGAGCTGGTGATGCAGCTCTGCGCAAAGGCCGGGACACAATTACCTTTAACAGAGCACTCACCACAGGTGAATGGTCAAAAACAATGTTAAACTCCACACCCACAAGCAGCTCTCTCTGGCAGTTACGGAAAGGAGCCAGCTCCTCGCTGAGTAACTACGGTCGCCACAGCACGTGTACAGGCCTCACCACTCAGAGCTCCTCACGCGCACTGCTGGCCCACGTGGGTCCCCGCCGCAGCGCCGC